CGATGGTACACTGCCCTTGATTTAAAAGATGCCTTTTTCACCCTGCCTTTGGCCCCCAAGAGCCAAGACATCTTTGCATTCGAATGGGCGGACCCGGAAAGAGGCATAAATGGACAACTCACCTGGACCCGACTTCCACAAGGATTTAAAAATTCCCCCACCCTATTTGATGAAGCCCTCCACGAAGATTTAAGTAAGTACCAGAAATTAAACCCAAATGTGTTTCTCCTACAATATGTAGATGACCTCCTTATTGCAGCTGAGACCCGAGAAGCCTGTCTCCTGGGGACGAAAAACCTCCTACAGACGCTGGGGAACCTAGGGTACCGCACATCCGCTAAGAAGGCCCAAATCTGCAAACCTGAGGTAATATATCTGGGGTACCTGCTAAAAAAAGGACAAAGATGGCTTACTGATGCCCGGAAAGAGACTGTCCTCCGCATTCCGCGACCCACCACTCCTCGACAGGTGAGAGAATTCCTGGGGTCTGTGGGATTCTGCCGGTTATGGATCCCAGGTTTTGCTGAAATGGCCAAACCCTTTTACGCAGTCTCTAAAAACCAACCATCATTTGAATGGTCTGCGGAAGCTGAGCAGGCATTTCAACAGATAAAGAGAGCCCTCCTATCGGCCCCAGCTCTAGGACTGCCCGATATCTCTAAGCCTTTCCACTTATATGTGGACAAACATAAAGGCATAGCCAAGGCAGTGCTAACCCAGCATCTAGGTCCATGGCCCAGACCAGTGGCCTATCTCTCAAAAAAACTGGACCCTGTAGCCGCAGGATGGCCCCCTTGTCTCTGGATAATAGCGGCTACAGCCCTAATGGTTAAAGACGCCGATAAGCTGTCCCTAGGCCAAGAGTTACATGTCACCACACCCCACACCATCGAAGGAGTGCTCAAGCAGCCCCCCAATAGGTGGATGAGCAATGCCCGGATGGCCCACTATCAGGGACTCCTGTTAGATCCCTTGCGGATCACATACACCCCTCCCCGAACTCTAAACCCGGCCTCGCTGCTACCTGACCCTGACCTGGACTCCCCGCTCCATTACTGCGCCGACATCCTAGCTCAGATCCATGGAATAAGGGAAGATCTACAGGACCGGCCTTTACCGGATGCTGAGGTCACCTGGTTCACTGACGGAAGCAGCTTCGTCCATCAAGGACAGAGGTATGCAGGGGCAGCAGTGACATCTGAGACTGAAGTAATATGGGCAGAGGCTCTGCCCCCAGGGACTTCTGCCCAAAGGGCAGAACTGATTGCCTTGAAAAAGCATTAAAAATGGGGCAGGACCACAAAGTGACTGTATATACAGACAGCCGGTATGCCTTTGCCACAGCCCATATACATGGGACAATATACCGTGAGAGGGGACTACTCACTGCTGAAGGCAAAGATATCAAAAATAGAGAGGAAATTCTGGCCCTATTGGTCGCTATTTGGGCCCCTAAGAAACTGGCCATAGTACATTGCCTGGGTCACCAAAAAATAACTGATCCAATCTCTCCAGGAAATAACCTAGCTGACCAAACTGCATGCCAGGTAGCACAAAAACCCATCCCAGTATTACCTGCGCAGCTACCAGATCCAGGGCCCCGAGATTTACCCCCACAGCCTGAATACTCAGAAGATGATCTTATCTGGATACGCAGGCTCCCAATGACCCGAGTTACAGATGGATGGTGGCGGGACTCCAGAGACCGCCTTATCCTTCCCAAAATATTGGGCCACGCAATCCTGACAAAAATACACCACTCTACCCACTTGGGGCCCCGAAGCCTTCAAGATCTCATCAGACAATCCAAACTAGTGTTAAGAAACATCTCTGACCAGACAGAAAGAGTTGTGACAGCCTGTTCTGCATGTCGACTCCAGAATGCGCACCTACACGTCACAGTCCAAGGCCACCGTAAAAGAGGAACCCTACAGGGAGCCCACTGGGAAGTTGACTTCACCGAAGTAAAGCCCGGCAAATACGGCTATAAATACTTACTAGTGTTCGTAGACACCTTTTCAGAATGGACCGAAGCCTTTCCAACCAAGAAGGAAACGGCGCAGACTGTAGCCAAAAAGATCCTAGAAGAAATCCTGCCCAGGTATGGTTTTCCACTAATGATAGGGTCAGACAATGGGCCTGCATTCGTCTCTAAGGTAAGTCCCACCGCCATCAAGGTAGATAACCTCCCTACCTGGATTCACCACACCCACATTAAGCCTGTCGACCCGCTGTCTAACCTCGTGGGACACATTGATAGAAATACTACTTGGACTGTAGACCGGAGTAAGAAAAACCCCCTCAAACTAACCTTGCGCCGTGCCTCCCCCAGACATGTTCCAGATAGTGACCCTTGTCCTACTAGCCCTCAACCTCAAACTCCTGGAGGGAGGACTAAATGCCCCCGTTGACAAACAGAGATTGTTACAAGCTCTGTATGGAAGGCCCTGTGATTGCAGAGGTGGCGTAGTTAGCACCATTGCCCTGCCACATAGTAAAAGAATAGTAGCCGGCTCTGTAGGAAGAGGGGGTCTACAGCGAAGCTACACTCAAACCCAAGACTGTGGGACCACAACCGCTTACTTAACCCAGACCTATGACACCACCGGACTCCAACAACAGCAGTGGTTATGTGTTAACAAACCCAAACCCCTGCCCCCTATGACAAAATGCCCTTGCTCCACTTTCCAAGAGTTGATGCACAGCTCTTGTTATGACTCCTATCAACAATGTATAGGGCCAGATAACTCCACCACCTACTTTATGGCCATCCTACAAAGTAACAGGGCAGCAATAGCCAGTGATAACAATATGCAATTTCAAGCTGGCTGCTCTGGCTCAATTGGAGCCGCCATCTGCTGGAACCCCCGAGCCCCCATACATGTGTCTGACGGTGAAGGACCCCAAGACGCTGTTAGACAGATTGAAACGCAAACGAGGCTTAAGGACCTCGCAGAACATATGTATCCACAGCTTAATTACCACCCCCTAGTTCTCCCTAGGCACAGCCCTTATGAGTTAGACCCTCAGACAATGTCTATCCTAGAAACCACTTTCTCACTCTTAAACATCTCTAACCCGACTCTAGCCCAAGATTGTTGGCTTTGCCTACCCCAGCAAACTCCCCAACCCATCGCCATCCCCACTGAAGTTGATATCCGCATAACCAATGACTGCTTTCCCTCTTCCCTACCTGACCCCTTCCCTGTTCAATTCATTAGCCCGTTCAATGCCTCTTGCTTTATAAATAACCTTACCTCCCAGAATAACAGCATAGATGTAGGGATCATATCTCTTGCCCAATGCCACCAGTACATCACTATCAACTCCTCCTTATGTAGTACCAACACCACCGTTTTCGTCTGCGGAAATAACCTAGCCTACACCTATCTTCCCCACAATTGGACTGGAGTATGCATCCTGGCCACTCTGCTACCAGATATCGACTTAGTCACAGGAAAAACCCCCATGCCCATCCCTAGTCTGGACTTTGTAGCTGGCAGATCCAAACGAGCTGTGGCTGTTATCCCCCTCCTGGTAGGCCTAGGAATTACAGGCGCATTAACTACCAGGACAGCAGGACAGCAGGATTAGGAGTCTCCATACACTCCTATCTGCGACTCTCTCGTCAACTAATTGACGACGTCGAAGCCTTGTCAGGGACAATCCAGGATCTGCAAGATCAGCTAGATTCCCTAGCAGAAGTGGTGTTACAGAATAGAAAAGGGTTGGATCTGCTAATCGCAGAACAAGGCGGCATCTGCTTAGCCCTACAAGAAAAATGTTGCTTTTATGCCAATAAATCAGGAATAGTTCGGACCAAAATCAAACAGCTCCAAGAGGACCTCGCACGCCAACGAAAAGAACTAGCCGAAAACCCACTGTGGTCAGGACTCCACGGGTTTCTCCCCTACCTTCTTCCCCTTTTTGGCCCCCTACTATGCCTCCTCCTCCTTTTTACCCTTGGCCCTATTGTGATCAACAAAATAATGGACTTTATCAGGGACAGACTAAACACCATTCAGATTATGGTCCTTAGGCCACAGTATCAGCCCCTAGACATGGAAAGCGAGCTTGATTAGGTAATACTGTAGGACCCAAGATTGGTTCCTCAGGTACTTGAGAAAGGGGGGGAATGAGAGGCCTAGGCAAACTGAAACTTAACCAGCTTGTTCCGCTTCTGTACAATTGCTTGGCGCGCCCCCGTATTCCTGACCAATCATTAAGATACCCGTACCCCTAGTTGTGGTATGATCTAAAGGCGGGAACCAATCCAATTCTGCTAAGTGTTCAAATTTAAATATCAACCAATTGCAGCTCTGTAATTGCTCTGAAAAATCCCTGCTTTCCCCATGACTTGTCTGTACCTGTCTATAAAAGGGCTGTAAAAACCTCACTCGGGGCCTCTTAGCGTCACTGGCAACGAGTGCGCGGAGGACCGGGTTCGAACCTGCAATAAACGACCCTTGCCACTTGGCTTTGGCTCTGGACTCTGGTGGTTCGTTTTTGGGGTCTCTTGAACTTTGGGCGTTACATTAGAAGATTCTCAAGCAGCTAAATTTTCTAGATGCCAAGTGGATCCTGCTAATCAGAGGACTTTGTTCAGCAGAAGCTTTATTGTTCTTTTTGGCTGTTTTTCTCTGGTCAAACCAAATGGGTGGAGAAGTGCATCTTTTTTGTCTACCTTGGCTAGCCTTACAAGTAGCTTACTATAAATTCATTTTTTTATGCCTTCATTTTTTGAGAGAGAGAGAGAGAGAGAGAGACAGTGTGAGCCCAGGAGGGGCAGAGAGAGGCGGAACGAGGATTCAAAGTGGGCTCTCATGCTGACAGCAGGGAGCTCCGTGCTGCTTGAACTCATGAACTCACAAACCCTGAGATCATGACCTGAGCTAAAATACTATGCTCAATGGATTGAGCCCACCCAGGTGCCCCTATAAATTCCTTTTTGTCTGTCAGATAGACTTTTCAGTACTTTATAAGGACTTAATTATCAAGAGTTGGATATACCTCATGGTCCAATCCAGTTCAAGCCTTAATCTTCCCAATCGTCTCTCTCTCTCTCTCTCTCCCTCTTTCTCTCACTGCAAATTTACTAAAGTGTATATTACATATAATAAAACTCATCCCACATTTTAAGTGTACAGATTACTAAGTTTAGGTAACTGTGTGCAGTTTTGTAAGCATGATCACGATACATTACAAAACATTTACATTACCTCAGAAAGTTGCCTCGGGCCTCTTTGAAATGAATTCCCTCCTCAATTCCCAGACCCAAGCAGTACTGATCTGCTGTCTATCATAAACATTGCCTTTTCCAGAATTTCATATAAATGGGACCATACAGAATTTAATGTTTTACCACCTTCACTTAACAAAGGTTTTGAAATTCGCCTAAGTTGTGTGTATCAATAGTTTGCTTCTTTTCAGCCTACAAAGGTCCACCACCACCAACCTAGCTCTCTAGGCTGTTAGGAGCTTGCCACCAGTGTTCCACCTGGGCCAGTCCCCATCCTCTGAGGAGGTAACATCATCCTGACTTCACTCCCAGTCACAAGATCGATCAGCATCCATCCACAGACAAGACACCACTGAGAAAAATCCCAGAACCCAGGGGTGAGACTGAAGCACCCCCCTAGACAGCAGACACCAAGACAGATCATATTATAAGGGTAAGAGAAGTGGCTCCACTCTGGCCCCGTCGTCCCTCCCCCAAACCGGGGCGCAGCTCTGCCTCAAGGCTGCTCTGGACCTACCTCGTCACAAGGGGTTAAAGAGAACCAGAGGTGGACATCCTGTTTCCCCAGCGTTGCAGGACACTTCCCAGGGGCCCACTGGGTCTCGCCTGGGACGGAATCACTGAGGGAATGGGCGGGAGCTGACGATGGTGGGGGTGGGGCTTACAGCGGCCAGAACCCAGAGCCTACTTACAGCTGTGCCTGGGCAGAGATCCCAGCAGGTGTCTCTGCTGGTCATCCCTTTTCGCCAGGGAGCTTGGTTGGCAGAGTTCTGCCTAATTCGGGTCTCTAGTCAGGGCCGTAGCAACTCGTTTTACTGCTGCCCCTTGGCAGGGAAGCAGATTTGGATCCTCTAATCCTACCCATCCCGGAAGTCTGGCCAGAGAACCGGGGCAGTTGCAGAGCAAAGCCAGGCCCGCCGTCTTGCCCAACTGTTGAGCACGGTCTCTGGTCCCACATAGCCTGGGAGCCTGAACAGCGACCCTGGGCAGCCTTGGAACACAGCCCGCTGTACCACCAAACCGTGGAGCCGTCCACAGCCTACCCAGCAGAGGAGCCCAGCCTATGAAGGTATGTTGGTAGAAATGTTGGTTGATACAACCAATTTGTAAAACCATGTGGCAGTTTCTTTAAAAGTTAACCATATACCTCTATGTGTGCCAGCCATTCTACTACTATGTATGTACTAAAGAGAAAGTATAGTTTACATAAATACTTGTACATAAATGTTCATAACAGCTTTTTTCCTTGTAATTGCCAAAAACTAGAAAGAGCCCAAATATCCATTAACTTATAAATGGGTTAACAAATTGAGGTATAGCCATAAAATGCATTAAGTCACTAATAAAAAATAATGAACTAACTGGAAAGAACTCTAAAGGATCTGATATTTTACTGCATTTGCCAGCTAACAAGCTAGAGTCTCCCGGGTCAGAGACAAAGGACTTTCTTATGCACAACATTAGCAATAGCAGAGTAGCACGGTTCCCTTAGCGCCGATTCAAGCAGGACAATGTGAAGATGGCGGATGCAATACAGTGTGTTACAGAACAATGACCTCAAGCTCAGGGACTCAAGTATTTTATACTAGGCAATAAGCCTGCTTAACCTTACCCTGTAGGAAAGCAATATCTTTATCATACTGGACAATACACAAACCTGCCCTTTGCTCTGGAGGGAGACTCGCTATCTTCCAAGTCTCTCCTCTATTCAAATATCCCTGCAAAGATAATCCAGAACAAAAGCAGTTGGTGACTCTGCTCACAAGACATGTAGAAAACATGGGAGACCCATGGAGGATTATCTCCCAATAGTAATAACATGGATGCATCTTTAAAAAAAAAGAATACGCTATGGGGCACCTAAGTGGCTCAGTCGGTTGAGTGTCCCACTTCAGCTCAGGTCATGATCTTGCGGTTGGTGAGTTGGAGCCCCACATAGGGCTCTGTGCTGACAGCTCAGAGCCTGGAGCCTGCTTCAGATTCTGTGTCTCCCTCTCTCTCTGTCCCTCCCACGTTTGCACTCTCTCTTGCTCTTTTTGAAAAATAAAGAAAAACATTAAAAGAAATTTTTTTAAATATGCTGAATGAATGAAGCCAGACCAAAAAAAAGGGGTAGAGGGCATTGCATAGTGTATCATTTTATTTGTAAAGAATTATAGAAAATGCAAACTAATATATGGAAGCAGAAAGCAGGTCAATGGTTGCCAGGGGATGAAGAAGGAGGGTAGGGAGGGATTACAGAAAGGCAGAGAAGCTTTTGGGAGTGAAGAATATCACAAATATGCTGATTTAGTGACGCATTCACTGGTGTATACCTATGTGAAAACACAAAATTATACTCTATAAATTAGTTTATTATATGTAAACTTTACCCCAATAGTGTTGTAAAAGAACCCGCAGAAGTCATTCACTGTCTCTACTTCCTTTTAAATATTTGTGAAAATAAAGAGTAATAAAATTCCTGTCTGCTCTAAAATTCCTTGAATCTACTATCAAATTGCATATGGGGCTGACACAGGAATCTGCTCATTGCTTGTACATTTAGTAAATTATCTCTCACTTCACTTAATTAATACATGGATTTTCAAGACATTTAAATTTATAATGAGCAAGGAGGCTGAAAATTTAATGATATTAGAGTTGATGATTTGTAATGGAGTTTCTGAATTCTATTCTACATTTACCTAAAACAAGTTTATCATCCTTTGTCCCTAAGTTAAAGTCTGTAGTCTCTGAGAATTTCAAGGAAAAACAAAAACAAAAACTCCTAAGAGGTAATGGAAGCATACTTGAGGAAACGCATTTAACTGAATTAAGATAGATAAAAATAACTTTAGAATTTGACAGTAATTTGAAGACTAAGTCCAAAGCTCTTTTTTACAGTTTAGGAAAGTGAGACCCAGAGAACTGACATTTGCCAAAGGGAAAGTAACTTTGGTAGTTACAGAATAAGGATTAGAGCTCAGAAGTTCTGATTCCTAGGTCAATATTATCTCCATTATACAAAGTTTCTACTCCTGGTAATAATATGTATATCTTCATTTTTAGGAATACATTCTTCTGTATTCCTCCCTAAATGGAAAACAAGGCAATTACATTGCTTGAAAAAAAAATACTCCTCACATAGTAATTCAGAAAATCAGTTCAGGTGGTGTAAAGAACAACTTATTTTTCTACCCAAACAGTAATTGAGATCAAAGTGTTCTCACGGTAGCTTATTTACTTCTGTGACACTAATTGTGAGCAAAGAGAGCATGATTAAAGTGGACCTAAAAAATAAGTTAGTTATTAAGTAGTTAACCTGTCTTCCAATCTCTTTTTTAAAATGTTTTCTTAACACTTTTATAAAAGGCACCATTGACTCCTTGACATACCACATAATTTTTTCTTGCAGGATATATTGCCCAAGAACATATGTACACACACAGATACAAGAGTTAAAAAACATTTGGACTTTGATGGCTCTACAAATTACCTTGCATTTTAGCAGAAAATCACTTGTTGGAAGCCTTTTGTTTGGCATGGTTTTTCTTAAACCAACAAACACGACACTGTTAAGTGGACCTTAACAGATGGAGCAGATGGAGGAGCGGCAGAAGCAATAAGGGAAAGCAGGAGGGGAAGCCAAAGAGTCCTGGAGGCAAGAAAGAAATGCTGAGGACTATTTCTAGTTTGGGGCTCTTTATTATATTTTTATCAACTTTCCTTTACACATCTAACTTAAAACTCAACTCAGGATTTTGTCAGAAAGTACCGACGTAGCTTAATAACTCACTTTTACCTTATCAAGGAGGCTTCATTGTTTTATAGTCTAATGATCGAGGAGCCATGAGCAAGTGTGTT